CCAGCGTGTACGCAGCTGTGTACGAACACTGTACAAAAGGGCAGAAACACACTGCAGCGAGCCAGACGACAAAAGGTTAGAATTACGCAACCTCCAGCGCCTCTTCATGGCGAACGGCTATCCTCGTAACTTCATAGAACGCCACAGGCAGCCTGGTCCAAGCCGAAGTTCGGTGACAGAACGGCCAAAAATCTGGCGGGCGCTTCCTTACATTGACGGCGTCTCTGAGGCGGTCTCCCGTCTGCTAAGACCACTGGGGATTGGCATTGCCCATCGGCCAGAGTCAACAATTCGAAATCTGGTCATGAGACCTAAGACCCCCCTGCCACGCGGCGAAACAACGAACGTCATTTATCGGATCCAGTGCAGTTCCTGTAATATGAACTATATTGGAGAGACCGGCAAACGACTGCACACCCGTGTTGCAGAGCACATGAGGGCAGTTAGGCGGATGGACCCGTTGTCTCTAGTGGCAGAACACTGCGCAAACTCTGGACACACGTTCGCCTTCCAGAATGCTGAAATCCTGGGCCGGGGCAATGACCGCATCACGAGGGAAACAATCGAGGCCTGGCACACTGGCGCGAACTCCATCAACCGCAGCGTAGCGCTTCCTGAGGCTTACCAGGCCCTCCGGATGCAGCTTAGCGAACAGAAGAGCAGAGTCAGGCTGCGACAAGACAGAAACCCAAGTACGGCCGAGTCCATGGGGGCCACACGCGCAACTGTACTTCAACCCGAATCTGACGAAGGTGCGATCGTTACTACAGCCGCGTCGTCCACTTATCTGACAGGTGTGAGGACGAACGATCGCAGTAACGCCAACGGACCCGATGAAGGTGCTATCATCACTGCCACTCATGCGGCAGGTGAGAACACAAGTGACTGCAGGGTGACAAAGAAGATTGCCAGCCTAGGACGAGAGCTAAGGTCAATGAAAACACGTGCGATGACAGCCAGCGTCCAAAAGACAGCCCCCGAATAGACGCAAACCCGTTGTAACCAGATCGTCACCGCCTATAAATACTGTGAGGAGTGATTCAAAACTCACCTCCGACGATGAAATCTTGTTTGATTTTGAAACGTCAGGGCAATATAACTATGGTTCCCGAGATCGCCTCTTCTTCTTATTTATGTCCGGGGACGCGCATCTTCGCTTTTATCAGCAATATATATATATATATGTACATGAATATGTACATGAATAATGGAGCTAGTATGCATTCCGAGTCCATATATTAAAAGGAGAAGGCTCGTCGGAAAATCGAGGTATACTCGTGAATTTTTAAGTCGGTTACACCAACCCGTCGTCAGACGAAAATGAAAAGTGTGAGGGAGATAATCCTACTGGGGAGTCAGGGGCTCATCGAGGTTACATCGACAAGACAGGCGTTTATGTGTGGGGTGAAGAACGTGTTTGGATAGGTGGCGGACGTAAGGGGCGGTGTTGGGGGTTTCACACATGTTTCACTCTGTGGGGGAGGTGCTGAATCCATGATATTCTA